AATCTTATATGATTAAGAACAAAAAATCTAGCAATTATAAGAAAGAAATATTCTATTGATACAAAAATTCCAAACACAAAAATCCAATTTTTATAGGAATCCAATATTGTGAATCAAAACTTCATCCAAAGAGGGGCCATTTCAACTAATAACTCCATATGGTATGTAGCACTGGTCCATGCTATTGTATTATAACACAACTATTAGATAAAAGAAACAAATAAAAAATATATTACAAAAGTACTTAATTAAAACTATTATAACAAATTACATAAGAAATATATATAATAGTCAATGAGGTAGTAAAACTAATAAGTGCTATTGCTGCTTTTTTACAAAATGAGCTTCTACTTACTTTGGATAGCCATAAATGAGAAAAAATAAAGTAGATAAGAAAAAGAACTACTACAAACATCTTTAAGAAATTATTAAAAAAAACCATAAGAAATCAAGGATAAATACTTAGAAAGGACCAATTGTGAACCAAGTTCAAAATTAAATTCCAAGATACAAAACCACACACCTATGGTAATTTTGGGATTTTTTGATTGATCAAAAACAAAGATTTAAAAGAAAAGATTGCAAAGAGGTTCTTTGGGCATCGGTTTTGAATATTTTGAGTTTGTAACAATTTTGCAAAAGCTTTGCAAAGTCAAGGTTGTATTAAGATGATATAGTTTTTTTTTTTTTTTTTTTTTTTTTTGAAAAATATAAATAGTTTATATTTTTGAGATTTTTGAAAGATTGGTAGTGGATCTATCAATAGAATTTTGTAGTTGTGTGATTGTAGTTATATTCAATGCATGTTATAAGTTTGAACTTGATTATATAGTTTATTTGAAGGTTATTAAAATTAAAGCATATTAGAGTCTCAGAAATTGGAGTTTAGAGAATCAGTAAAATTTTTTATAATTTATAGTAATCTATTTTTTGAATTAAAAAAATACCTTGCACACTAATAGAAAACTTAATTTCTTATAGCTATAAAAATTTTGATAGAAATTAAACAAAAGAATCATGAAATATTGATACTAGAAAATTGCCATTAAGATTATTGATAATTGGCTAACATCCAAGTAGATTATGAGGATTTTCTTCCATTTGATATGTTTAATCTTCTTTAAAATTATTGTACTTATTTTTAATTAATAAATTATAAATAATTTAAAAAATAATTAATAATTAATAATTACATTATTATTTATTAATATTTTATTTTTCTTTGGAATTTGATGAGAGTTTGATTAAGATTTAAGATTTAGAGTTTGAATAGGATTTTATTAGAATTTGATTAAGATTAATTTAGAATTTATGATATATTTAGGATTTTATTAAAATTTATATAAGATATAGTTAAGATTTTTATTTTTAATATTTTTTGGAATTTCTATTTTTAATATTTTTTTAGGATTTTTTATACAATACTTCATAATATCTTTAAAAATTCTTTAATATTTCTTTATGTTTTTTTATAATTTCTTTAAAGCCTCTTTGGATTTTATTAAAGTTTGATTAGAGTTATTAAGGTTTAATTGAAATTAACTTAAGATTCTATTAGAGTTTTTAGAACCATATTGTTGCAATTTCTAATTTATCCTCTATAGCCAAGTGCTTAGTACATTCTCAAGCAAGACCTCATGTAATACAATAGAGCTTAGTTCCACTTGCATGATTGTATGCAGTCACAACATTGTGTATTTGGATGATCCAAACAACTCTTTTTAATGGCAAAATCTTATGTAGTATCATCCTACGCTTAGGCACAAACCTCCTTCTTTAATAATTTGGACATAGACCTCTTTGCTTGGGTACAATGTTCAACTCCATCTTCAAACTCATCATGTACTAGCATCAAATTGTGTCATCTACTACAATATTACATAAGACCATTATTTTTTGGCCACTAAAAATTTTGGGAATTATGAATCCAAGACCATCAACAATAGATATCAAGAAAAAAGAAGAACACCATCTTAAAGTAAGAGTGATATGATGCTAAAATTATTGAGAGTGGTTCTTTTTTTCCTCCTTATACTTAATATCAAGATTTAGGGTAAAGAAGATGAAAGAAATATGAAGAAAATTAGAGCTATTAATTCTCTACTATTCCATCTTTTTATCTAGCTAAATTCTAGCCCTTCTAGTCTTGTTAAATTGACAAAGTTGTGGATATTGTGAATATCAACTAATAAGCAAACATCAAAGAGATTTCAATTTAGCTAGGTCATGGAGATGGAGGAGATTTTAATTTGGATAAGTTGTAGACATTTGAGAGCATTCATAGCTTCTACAATGCCCTTACACACTTGATTAATAGCTTGAAAATCACATGCTTGAAGCAACTAAAGGTAAAAAGCTCGTTGATTGAGTAAACATAAGGTGTTGACTTCCAAAAAAAAGAAGACTTTACTGGAGCATTATACAATGAAGAAGACTTAAGTATATATTAGATTTCATACTTTTATTTTTTTTCTTTGTTTCTTTTAGATTTAAAAAAGAAATCTATTGCTTTTGCAATTCCTTCAAATACAAGAGCATGATCATATTGTATGATATTATGGTCTAAATTGTAAAGATCATACAACCTAGTAAGATTACAAGTTAATATATTATCTATTAGTTTGTTGTATGATTTTTTCATCTAAAGTTTTTGTTGGAGAATTGTAACATGTCTAGAACGTACAAACTCTTGTCATTGTCTTCATTGTGGTACAAAAAGCTTGTTATTAATATGAAAATTTATTCATTGAGATGTACAATCTTAATAGTATTGTTTGGATTTACAGTGAAGATTTGAGTATTGAGTGGTGTGTTGCAAGACATGTTTAGATTACATTCAATTCTATCAAGTGTCATTGCCATTGCAACAACCATTGCAGCAAATAGTGCAAAAGGTGTTAATAAAACATCTGTAGTAAAACAAGTATCTATGACTAATCCAATTAAAAAGCAAATAATGTTTATTACTATATGTTACATCTTTCTAATCTAATTTCTAATTTAATATTGATACTAGTATTGCCATCATCAAATAATGATATAGTTTCATAATGATGGATAAGAGTCAATTTTATATTTCTTTTTTAAAATATTATCAATTTTTTTTTAGATTATATAACCTTCAAAATCATATGATACCTTTTAAATATTTAAATATATTTAGATATATAAATATCTATTTAAAGATTTAAAAAAATTATAAAAGATTTTAAAAGATTGTTTAGACTTTTATAGATTTATACAACATAGTAAATATATATAAAAGATTCTAAGAGATTCTAAAATATTTTATTAAGACTTTTAAGCTGTAACTTATTATATATATATATATATTTTAAATAAAAATTTAGCATAAAAATTATGAAAAAAAATTACAAAAATAAAGTATTTCCTTGTATTAATTATAATTTAGAATATAAATACAAATATTTATATACATCAAAATAAATATAATTCATAAAACTATAATCTTTGTATTTTTGCTATAGTATATAAATTCATCTTTGGAATAATTGATTCCAAATAAAAAAACAAAACATAAATTGAAAATTCATTTGCAACAAAAAATATACATAAGGAAATAGAGTTGCTTTTTTAAACTGATCCAAATTTATCAAAAATTTTAAATTTTTTTAAAAATAATAATAATAACTATCAATAGAGAACCACAAGGTAAAATCGATATAAGTTTCTTAACAATCCAGAATTTCGACAATTAAAAAATGATTTAAAAAAAATCGGTAAGTTCAAAAACATGGTTTAAGAGAAGTCAAGTTCAATAAATTTAGAATGACCTCACAATACCAAATGATACCAAATGACATCCAAAAAAATACCTCATGAAAGTGGGGAGGTTCAAATTCCATATGCGAGTACCTCAATCCAATGTAATGCATCCTAGCAGAAGAGAAAAGCATCCTGTTGCGATAATAATAACAAAAACAACAACAAAAAACAATTCACTGTAACCAAGTTTACTGTAGCCGGGTAACAAGCAAAAACATTGACTCAAGTGACCAGTGGCAAGAATACTGTCAAAACCAATATCTCCATCATAAGCAATCACTCAAAATCATACCCGCACAGATGATTATATACAGAGAAGTGCTGAAATAGGGGAGGTTCAAGAGAAGCCCAATCATTAATGAAGAGACAGGCGAGAAAACAACCTCATTGATGAGAAGGGGAAGAAGAGTAAAGATAGTAAAGAGGAATAGAGGTGGGGGGGGGAGAGGATATTGTAAATATATTAATGGTAGGCCAGTCTGTCACCAACCCCTGTGCTATGGAGCCCCATGCTTGCACCACTTCTACTGGTTGCGTGCTTCGCTCAGGCTCCGCCATTGGCTGCTATGCCCCCTTAACTCGCCTTCTGCATGCAGCCGCCTGCACCCCATACTTCCACGACCAAAGCAATTCTTTTCTAATACTATTCCCAACTGGATTCCCCCTCCGTTGACTGGTCGTCGCCACAAGACTCACTCCTTATTACTGGTGGGGTCTACTACGACTACTACATGCTCATCGATGTCGCTGTTGTAACCCCAGATCGCACCTCCTCACCCTGCCTGCACCTCTGCCTGCCTGTGTGGATCCCACCGGACGCCACCAAGGTCCAGCGATTTGAGTCATGGAGTTTAGTACATGCTGGCTTAAGTACGGAGTGGTGCCACATTGGCATCATCTGTCAGATGGGGACGGTGTTTCTGCTTCTGCTGGAGTGGTGGTCACTCTCCCCACTTCGATAACTTACCGTTCCTTTTCTTGTGTCGACGATGCCGCTGGATTAGAATAGTTGCGTCCAGTTGAGGGTTGATTGTTTGCCTGTTGAACGTGACGCTGCCATCTATTGTGTCTCGATCACCACCATGACTGCTTCGCAATGTTGTTATAGCTACTTAGGGTGTTTACTGGGATTCTGAATCACACACACCTTCAACTGGGGAAGAATTCATCATCATCACCATCATGTACATTATGCGTATGAGAAAATATTAACATCCTCATAATCTGCGCTATCTGCTGGCACTCCGACTTCAATGCTAAACAAACCTTGAAAAACCGTGTCAGTTAACATTATGTGTGAAAGCGAGCAATCGCTTGGTGCTTCAGAAGCTCGCATGAAACTACAGCCATTCTGTAACCGAGAGATTTTGGCGGTACATCACAGTCCGAACTGTGTACAAAAGCTATCTACAATAGAATCTACATTCGCATTCACTTGACTCTTAAAGCTTGGAAGAGAATCTGCAGCTGACTATGTACATGGTGTCGATTGTTCTCATCTACTAATCCAAAATACTGTCCATTGCCGGGCAAAGGCTTTCATGTGAGCATTTTGTGCAGATGAAGTGATTCTTGCCTCTCAAACTGCATCAGTGCCCTTCGAAATATATTTAAGATTCCAGGAAACTACATGACATCTGTGTTTCACAGAATCTTTTTTCCCAACCCTTAAATCTTGTTTTTGCTTTGACGACATCGCCCTCCTTGCTTCCTTCAGTTCCGGGACTATTCTTCAACTTTCACTTTCTTGAGTACTTCTATTGTATGCATGCTCGGAAACGCCGACATGCCTCGAATCACCTTCACGTCAATGCCGCTTTCAAAACTCCGCTAAGTTCAACATGATAGAGCATAAATACTAGCTAGAACTAAAGTAATAACAATGCACCAAATAAAGCAAAGAAGGTATCATCGGTTCATCATTTGAGTGGATCACACATCCCGTATTCAAGCATGATTATATTCTATAAAGCAGAAAGATGGATCTCACATAGGTACCCCGTGTACTGTGTCTCCAGAGCAAGAGCACGTCCCCTTTGGTCAAGCGATGAGCTCTCACAAAATCTCCTGCAACAGTTTCACATTCCAGAGGATCATGTTAGAAGTAAGACACACCCTCTGAATTCATCTTGTATGGGTTATGAAGTACCCAGATAAAAACTAACTCACCTGTGCTCTCCAACAGGTACATGCGACTCCTGCAGTTAGGCCAGAACCTGTTACATCCAAAGTAGCAATACCATTGTTGGAAAATACCGACAAGTCATCTTCAAACCAGTGAAACAAGCCAAAAGAAGATTTACATTTAACCAGAGCACTTAAAGAATAATTTTACCGGTAACGGAAGGTCCATTGTTGTCCCGTGTCAAAATCTTCCATGGTAATCAAGATCCCCTCTTTCATGGCGAGATACGGCAAATGACTCTCGGCCTCCTTCTGCGCATTACAAACAAACAAGGTGTTGCAACTGTGCATGCTCTCGCCCTTGATCTTAGAAATCAACCTACTAAGCAAGAGAACATGATTATAGTGAAATTAGATCTGGCTTGGCTTGCATACCTTGGAGATGACTATCCGGCCCAGATTACTAACATCGCTTGTTTGCAACACTTTATGAAAAAGGAACCGCAACGAATCCATGTTGTGACCCTGTAGCAAAACCGAGCATCTTGGATAAGTTCACATAGTTTACAAATTTGAGTGGGCACATGAAAGCTAATTCTGACGCTCAAAAAAAGACGAAAAGTTTATTACAGTCTAGTACGTGACTCTGGTGTTCACGATCGAACAAGGATGGTCCACAATGTCGGTCATTCAAAGTACGAGATCCTATTACTGGTGGATTTTAGATCGCTACTCATCTACACTTGCTCAGCTGCAGAAGGAACCATCACAAAACAGATCCTTAAATCTCATGGTCGTACACGAAATATAAACACCTGTTACCTGTCCATTGCTACACGTCAGCTCTTTGGCCAACTTTGTTACGTACATCTTCTTCAATGCTCGTGGGGATGAGCCACTGCCATTTGAATGCGAAGGACCTCGTTGATGTGGTGCAGACTTCTGCCGCAGTAGGATCCGGTGTCTTCTTGCAGCAGCAACCTTACTGGAGATAATGTGGGATGGGCGTCTAAGAATTTGATCTCCGAGGAAGCTCATGACTGTGGCTGACTGCGACAAGTGGTTAGCAGGAGGAAAGATGTCCTCTGTGGTTGGATCAAACAATCCTACGGGCGTTTCCGTTATCATTTGCCGACCATGATTCGGTGTGTCCCCTATGAGGCTCGACGATGATTCACTTTCCAGGTGTGACATACTGCAGCTCAAGTTCTGTTGCCAATCTTCCATCAATGAGCAGTCCTGTTGAGTCCATCCTGGTAGTTGATGAAGAGGCAACTCATCCTTCTGGTGATCAACCTCCCACGAAGTCTGGGTTTCCAATACATCTTTACAAGTCAATAACTGCTCCAGGGCTTGTGTTATCGATCCTTCACTGCAGATGCTGATTGGGTCTGCGGTGGGATCTTGTGTCGACCCCTTCAAAGCCTCAGTTTGTAAGTAGGGGTCAAAGTAATCATAGTGTTCAGCAGTTTCGGTGGATGACTTCGAGGATGTAAGCTCAATAGGTGAGGCTGCAGGTGTTCGCAAACTTGTGGACTCCAATTCCTGGCAGTACGAAAAGAATGCCTCGTCGCCAACTTTGGCTCTAACAAGACCTCTAGCATCCTGAAGCCATATGTTGGCAATATTTTTCTCCATCTTCGAAAGGGTTTCGAGAGGTCTCCTCACATATCTGTGGTTAGCTCCTGTAAGTCTTCGTCTTGGTAAGGTTGACTCAGTCGCTTGAAACTGTCTTTTACGGTTACTTATGTGGTGAATTGACCGCTGCTCTATCCAGCCACTTCTAATCCTCCTAGGGTCTCTGAGAACACGCTCTCACTGCCGTCCCTGAAACAATTGAAATTCATTGAGGGTTCAGTCTGGAGTATTGACCATATTACAACACTAGTAAATCTTTTTGAATCGCTGATAAGTTTGCAGTACAGCATGACATTCCCAAGATGAAGGCTACTAGCTCCGGCTAAACTCAATCATGGAGTCCTCAATTCTCAAATACTAAGGCGTAATTTTCCCTCAAAACACAATAAAGCGTTCGTATATGCACGATATTCTAGATTTGGTAAATACATTACGGCCGTGTAACTTCTCCCTTCGTCGCAAAGGGACCAGGTGTACTTAGTGCGAAAACATCGCGAGAACGTGTCATTAACGAGATATAATCTGCTCAAAGAAATCCTCATCTTAGGAATCAACTTCACGAAGCGAACATATCGAATACGAGGTTTGAAATAACGAAAGTTGGAATACAAATCGCGTAGAAAACATCATCTGAAGCAATCTGTATCGAAACTTTACAGCTCACCACATACACCAGCATTCTTATGCGAACATGCTCACAACCAAGATCACCCCAGAGACCATTGACTAACAAACTGCGCTGCTCTTACGTCACCTCCATGAAATTTATTAGACTGATTAATTCGTCGATCTAGTGCCCATACTTACAAGTAACCAACACTGACGCTTGAGGCATACAACTTGGAACGTTGATACGAGTTTGCAATCGACAACACGTTGGCGAACGACCCGAACATCTCGAGAGAAATGCAACCACCTCTTCGCACTTGGAGACAAAGCGTCAAAGGGATACCTATAGCGCCCATCCCATGCTCAAGGGATCGTACCGCAAACCTCAGAAGAAGGTTACAAGACAATCAACGAACCCTCCAGTTCATATAGCGCAGGTTACGAGCGGACTCTGGAAGCTACTGTCCAACTGAACCAAATTGATTGAAAGAAGAAAAAAGACAAAAAGGAAAAAGCATGCCTTGCTCGCTCCGTCCTCACGAGAAACTGCACCAGCCTCAAAAACCCAAGACCGCCACCAGCTACGCGAGGTTCAGGACCCTTGGACCTAGTTGAGGGGAAGTACCTGCAACACGGAGAAGGACATCGCATGCAACTCCCGGCACATGCATCTCTACAAAGCTGTGGAGAAATCCCCAGTTGGCCCAATTTCGCTGCCTAGGTTCGTCAACTGGAGAGTGCAGACACTGGCTCGAATAGGGCTCGCTAAGCGCGACCCGAGACAAGTAAGCTACGGAAACCTGGATCGCAACAAGCAGAAGTTGTCATCCACGGCGCACGAATTTTCCTGCTCGATCGTTAAGGCTGACGGATGGACTCATCGGGTGGTAATCTTCAGCCACCCTCCCTCCCTCCACTGACGCCGAGGATCGCTGTCGCAGCAGCACCAGCATCACGCAGGGAATGTACGAATTCGTTACGAGCGACTGAGTCGATGAGATCCTCCTCCTCCGCGACTCAGGCTCTTTCTCTGCGGTCGTCTTTCCCATCTGCTTTCTTCTGCCATGCCCAAGCCCGAGCCCGCTGTTTCCTACTCTGCGGAGCCGTTACAATCGTGCGACATGGCTGAACCAGTCCTCCCCCCAACCAGCTCTAGTTCTCTGCCAGCCACAGCTACTTTCTTTCTTTCTTTCTTCCTTCCTTCCTTCCTTCCTTCCTTCCTCCCTCTTCATTTGTATGAATGTAACTGTGTGTGTGTGTGAGTTACAGTTTTGTGCGTCTAGTTGGGTCTAGGAATACTGTCTAGAAAGACAAGACGTCTTTCAGTGGTTAAAACATCCAACGCCTTCAAACAACATACTACTTTTATGTTGAAACTAGTAGTTGTTGGTGCATTGAACAAATGTGTTCTCAACAAACAATTACTCATTCACATGCAAGTGCACATGGTTGTATTAGGATTGGGTTCTTTTCTATTTGAAGGAAATATATTATTATTGCTAAAGTTATTGGAATATTTTGATATTATTTTCTAAAATCTTAAGCATTAGTTTTAAAATACATTTTATCTTTTCATTTATATTTGAGAAGTTTTATCGATGATGGATATCACACTTCTAGTTATTATTAATAAAATAATAATTAGAAATTTAAAAAACAAAATAAAAGAAGATGCATAATTTGAATGATTTTTTTAATTTTATAGAATTGGCTCAACTTTGCTTAAAATATCAACTTGGATTAAAAAAAAAAAAAAAAAAAAAAAATTGTAGATATTTTTTTTTGTATCTACTTTTTCATAAAATTGAATTTTCATAATCTATTTCAATTAAAATTTCATTTTAAAATTATTTTTTTCTAAAAAAATTTATTAATATTATTTTTTAAAATATGTACAAATTTTTGTGGCTTTTTTTTGTTTATATATCATTAGTTATTAAAAATATAAAAAAAATAATTTTAATATTACGTATTTTGTCATCTTTGTAATAAACTAGAAAGTCTTGAAACAAAATTAAGGACTAAAAAAACATTGACAAGAATAAAAAAGACTTTATTCTTACCTCTATATCTATTTTTAACTATGAGCTATGTGGAAATATTCTATAGGACTCCTTAAACATGTTGACTTTGCTAGTGACATATCTTAACATGCAAGGCAAGTTTTTTAAATGTGCATCACATAGTTAGCTTATTATGTAAGCTACTAACCTATAATTAACTTGTTAACTAAGTTTCTAACCTACCAATTAATTACAAACATATGTAATGTCAAAGCAACATCTATGAAGCTTCTAAAAAGCTTCTTTAGAGTCATAAATATACAAAAGTTATAAAGAAGAGTATTAGAAAGTAGAATGCTATCTTTTTCAAATCTTGTTTTTTTTTTTTATAGCAAAGATTTGCTATTCTTTATCTTGATTTTGATGGATGTCATTGATGAAAAGCTTCAACCTTCTTTGTTGTCTTTCAAAGATTCTTTGCTAGCTTCCATGTATATTCATTAATATCATATCCGCACTAATGAACAAAATATTCTAATCATTTTCAGCACCGCCTTGAATTTAAGACTTCTTATATCTCAAACTTTTCATTATTATCTACTTTTATAGGAGGAGGTGATATTTATCTTCTTCCCTAGATATTCACTATCTTATATGGCTCAAAAAGAGATACATGGAATACAAGATGGATCTTTATAGACTCTAATAGATGTAATTGAAAAGCAACAAGATTGACTTATTTACAAATAAAAAAAAATCTAAGCTTATGATAGTGTAACTTATTACAAAGACAATTAGTCTTGATATTGCAATGAAGTAGCCATATCTTGTAACTTAGGGTGAATTATAATTATTTCTTATAATAGGCATCTGTATTAATTTTTTGTCTTTCTTTGCCTTCCTTTAATTGTACCTTTATTGTTACATGTAGTCTTAATAAAAAATTTCCTAAATCTATTGCTATAAGATTATCAACTTTTGAAAAGTCAAAAGTATCAAGTTGTGGATGATAACCATAATTGCCAAAAGAAAGGTATTTGTTGAATAGAAGAATGTACCAAATTATTGTATACAAATTCTATCAATAACAAAAGAGTTGTCTAATTATCTTGATGATAGTTGATGGTATACATCAAATACTACTTCAAAATTTGATTCACTTGTTTTATTTTTCCATCAATTTGAGGATGAAAAGTTATAAAGAGCTTTATATTTATTTTTAGAAGCTTGATATAAATTGAGTTTGCCTATCCAATATAATATATTTAAACAATCTATAATAGCGACAGATGTCAAGAAAAAGCTTAGTTATTTTTTTACTTACAATATATTTTGTACATCGTACAAAATATATTATTTTGATAAAATGATCTACTATCATAAATATAAAATCATACAAACTTGAGACTAAAAGTTCTCTAATAAAATCCATAGAAACAGATGACCATGGTTGTTTTGGAATAGGTAATAGCTAAAACAATCCATAAGGTTGATAACAAGGAGTTTTTGATCTTCAACAAATATTACATGTTTATACAAAGTCTTTAATTGCCTTCTATATTTGAGGCCACCAAAAATTTCTAGATATTAGCTCCAAAGTCTTCTTGTATCCAAAATATGTAGGTGCTAGAAAGTCATAACAAGCTTAAAGAATATATAATTGTACTTCTTCTTTTGGAATTTATAATCATTCTTCAAAATAGAGTAGATTATTTTTGAACTCAAACTTGGAAGTATCTTAAGCCTTAGAAGAATTATTCTTCATATCATGAACAAGAGGATTAGAGGATATACTTGATTGAATTTACTTAAAAAATGTTGAATCAACAATCAATGTTGATTTTATTGCTTAAAGATGAAAATGTTTTAGCTTCAAGAGAATCATTCTTTGTTGATCAAAAGTTGCGTCTTCTTATTTTGGTGCAAGATAAAAATATCTAAAAAATACGTTTGATAAATCTTGTTGTTTTCAAAGTCAATAAATATTCCTAAAATTAAATCTTGATAAAGATTCAAGATATACTCCAATAGGCTTTGTGATGATTTAATATACGTATTGATATGAAGTACTTGAGATTCTTATGATTTATATATACGGTGATTGGAATAGAATCGCCTTCTAGATAATGACGCCATTATTGAAGTGAGTCCATGATTGCAAGAACTTCTTTGTCATAGATCTTATAGTTAACCTTGCTTGCTAAAAATTTCTTGGAATGAAAAGCTATCAAGCAGAGGTTGTCATCTGCTTCTATTTGTGACAAAATAACACCTATAGCAAAGTTTGATGCATTTTTTTCATAAAGAATGCCTTCAAAAAGTTGATAAAATATAAGACTAATATAAAAATAAATGCTATCTTTAAGGCTTCTAAAGATGCTTCAACTTCTTTGCTCCACTCAAGTTTATCTTCACATGTCATATGTATAAGAAAAGTTGCAACTTGATAAAAGTTCTTGATGAAGATCCAATAATAATTGGAAAATTATAAAAAAATGCTATACATCTTTGATTCTTTTTAAAATCTTTTAATTTTTGATAGTTTAGACTTTTTTAAGATCCATTATAAGACCATTTTTAGAAATGATGTATCTTTGGAAGTCAACTTGAGTAATATAGAATAAATACTTTTCTATCTTGGCATATAATCCTCATCTTTAAGTTTTTTGTAATACACAAAAAACATGAATTTCATACTCTTTTATATTTTTAGAGTAGATGAAGATATTGTAAAAATAATACATAACAAAATCATTAAGAAACTCACAAAAGATATCATTCATTAGATGTTAAAAAACATCTAGTGCATTTGTGAGTCCAAAAGGCATAACATTATATTAAAAATATTCATATTTAGTTCAAAATGTAATTTTCTATTTGTCTCTTCTTTTAATGCATACCAGATTATATGCTCCTCATAATCTATTTTTTTTTTTTTTTTTTAATAAATCTTTACATAATTCAATTGATCAAGAAGTCTTCAAATCAAAGATAGAGGGTACCTATTATTAATGGTAATCTTATTAAATTTTTAATAGTTCATACACATCTACAAAGGTTTGTCTTTTTCTTCACAAATAAGATATGAGGCTTGACTAGAGATTTAGAATGGCATATAAAATTTTTAGCCAAATTTTCATCAATATATTCCTTGAGTACAACCAATTCATTTTGTAATAAGCTATAGATTGATCTAAATGGTGATTAAGCTCTTTCTTCAAGATCAATGGAATAACCATAAGGATAGTGCTTTGGAAGAATATCTACATTCTTCTGTATAAAGACATCTTAATAATCTTGATATTTACTTGGAATGCCATTTAAAAAAAAATTTCTATCAATAATAGGTGTTGAAAGAGGACCGGTCTATCTCGAGAATCTAAGATCTTTCTAACCTACAACAATATAAAACCTAATTACAAAATAGGACTAATTCAGTAGAATAAAACTAAATGGAATTCATTAGATATTTTTTAAAATCTAATGAATAAGACACAAAAGACAAAACTAAATAAATAAAAATAGAACATAACAGAATTAAATAAGAAGATGCAAAATCAAACTTTACTAAGAAAAAAGGTCCAAAGCCATACCTAGCCAAATGTCCAAGAGGCCTTAGCTAGTCTTATTTATATTTTTTTCAACCATCCTAGAACTTTCTAAAATATTCTTAATGATAGATCTCACTTAGATAACTATCCTAAATTCTTTTTAGAAGGTTCTATAATAGGCTCTACGTAGATAACCATCTTAAGTCTTTTTAGAATATTCTATGGTAGACCTTACCTAAATAACTGCCCTAAACTCTTTTTAGAATGTTTGATGGTGGAACCTATATAATCCACTAACCTTGTCTCAATTCTAGAAATTTCTATAACTTTTTCAATATAGTTCTAACTATCTATTCCTATGTATCAATAATACAAATATATTATCTATACCTTGTTATAAGTGTGGCATATATAATAAAAGTTGATCCTTCCATTACATCATGCATGAAAGTTCTCGCACCT